GAAACTTTAAAAAATTGAAAATATGACGAGCAAGAAAAAAATTTCATACAATATCATAAAAAATCTATTGCGATGTTTCTCTTCTGAAATTATAAAAATTTATATTCGGAACATCTTTTTCTAAAATTAATAAATATTTAAAAAAATAATTAAAATATTTAAGATGGACGTTAAAAATGAAATAACTTAACATCAATTTGTTTGGGATGTTTACATAGAATCAATCAGCATAATTGCGACAGAATAAACAATTGCAATATTTTCTATTAATAAGATTTATATATTTATAAAAAAAAAACATTAAAAAATAATACCCGCCTAGAAAGTAGGGAGATCTTAGATTCGATTCCTGGAGGTAATATTTTGCGTAATAAGTTCTTTATAGAATTTGAAATGTGCTAGTAGCATTAAATCGACGATCAAATATTAATTTGTAAAGATTATTATTTCAATTATTCGAATGATTACGTTGTACGGCTGACAATACGCGGCGCACAATCTGACCGAAATAAATGTATTTAGGAATTTATATACAATTATTATTCAATATCTAGCTTTGACCGTATTTGGCGTATGGATCTTTATATACTTATGTGATATATCGGTCATATTCTCATTTTCTTATCGATTAAAAAATAATCATTAATTTAATCACACTTAAACATTGAAGATATTCTACTCAGTCGCAATCATTTTAATTGTTTCTATATTCGTATATTCTATACCGCGCCGCATACTTCTCATTATACATATGTATCTAATATCTTCAACAACTCACAGGCATTTATAACATCTCGTTGCAGAAATGCAAAATTGTATACACATAAAATGTACAAAATATCTTCTCTGGCAGTCGTAGTCATGTTGTACTGTGGGATTTGTTATAAAATATAGTACTCGAATTCGCGAACAATTCAAATTCTCATATTTCGTGTCTACGAAATAAGCGATGCGTCAAGCGTGATTTAAAAATCGCAATACAAACTTAATATCAAAAAATTATTATACCTGGCAGAATTAAACCATATGAAGTTGTAAGAGAGCCGAATTTTGTTAGAAAAATGTATAGACGAATACAAAATAATGCCGATACTACCGCCGCGATTAATACTAATATAGCTTATCCTAAAATTAACATTATCCATCACATGTTACATATTCATTTTATAGAATATTTCTTCTTCTCGTCACTCTCGAAGCCAGAATCTAGATCATCGCTCTGACACTTTTTCAATGTACAACCCTTGGAGATTTGCCTGAAACTTTCTCGTTCTACCAACAACTTTTTGATACTATCTATTAAATGTTCAAAAAAATTCGGGTAGCCGTCGTACCCAGGAAATACATTAACATCTATTATCGCGTACTTCCCAGTATGATTTTCAATTACAACATCTATTCCAACTAGAATAAGACCAAATATCTCTCGAATATTCTTAACGATTGTTTCGAATATTTGATAATTTGGTTTCACAGTTAAAGGAATGTCTTCTTCGGACAATATAGACCATTTAGATCTACTACAGCTTTTCGATATATCATGCGAAATGAAGAATATTGTACTTAACGAATTACAGTCTTCTTCGTAAAAATTTTTAAAGCTAGGGCGCTCGACCACATGAAAACGATCGCCCACAACAAATAATTTATATAAAATAGCGTTATGATTAATGAAATCCTGAGCGACACAAGGTAGTTGACAGTCTTTCAAGTCTCTTTCATTAAAGATAATCATCATCTGAAATTAAAAAGTAAAAAATAATTTTTATATCAAACTCATGATTTTCTTGCTTCAGACATTTTTACATCTCATGCCTACCTTGTGCGCGTCGCTTGAGCCATATGCAAGAAGCGGCTTACAAACAAATGGATATTTAATACCACGCTTTTTCAACGTTGATGCTATTTCATGGACATTTCTGCTCTTGATTTCTACAAAGTTAGGAGTAAATACATCTGAAAAAAATAAAGCAATGTCAAACTTATAATTCAGTTCTTTTGCAGTTATATTTATGTACAAATTATAAATACATACCTTTAAACCGAATGCCTTCTTGTATAAATTCGTAAGATTTACATCGATTACTTAAATTCCTAATATTATCCAGAGGATCGATAATAATCAGATCTGGATGTTTGGCAATGTACTCCTGAAGTCGCGAAACAATATCTTCAGCCTATAAAAGATACGTTATAGACTCATTGATAATCCAAACAGAATAAATATTGTTTTAAACGTCTTCATACATTTTTATCACCACTCTCTGCGTGTGACTGCATATCTGTTAGCTTGTGTAAGAAAACGTGTAATGGTCCCTGAGTCTCGAAGCTTAAATTCACATCGATCTGAAATACAGATGGAAAATTTAAAAATATTACAAATATTGCACTCGCAAAAATAATGCTGACAAAAATAATGGAATAGGAGAAACCTGATATTAAATATCTTATATATTATAGATGAGTGATCCGCAGTCATTTCGACCTAACGAATCCAAGTTAAAAATACTGTGGACACTTATACATATCTATACATCACATATATAGATATTTATAAATAATAAATCATTACAATAAAGAAGTGCAGCGAAAAATTTGAAAAAGTTAAGCCATTTGATTGTCATGTTATTGAAAATCTAATTGACCTTTGACCCTCTTATTTAACTGATTTGACTCACACTTTGTTATGATGGAGCAAAGATCCTTGGGTATCTATCGCGGAAAACAAAATTTGAAAAAATTAAACTGCTTCTGATAAACTTTGCAAATGGATGGACAAATGTTGTGAAATTATGAAGTAGTTTGCTGCACTACTTAAAAATGAGAATAAGAAACGTTAAGACTGTGTGCCACGTAATTTTATTACATCTGTGCTGAAATTAAATGTTTTTCTAGAAAAAAAATTATTGCACCTTACACAATCAAAAAGATAAAGATTCTTTTTAGCTGAACTTCTTGCATCATTCATTTTTTTCTTTTTTTTTTTTTCTCTAAGTAGATAGAAAAAGAAAAAAAATAAACTATGTAAGAAGCTGAAAAAACAGGAAATATATATATATATATATAT